GAGAGAGAGAGAGAGAGAGAGAGAGAGAGAGAGAGAGAGAGAGGAGAGAGAGTGTGTGTGTGTGTGTGTGTGTGTGTGTGTGTGTGTGTGTGTGTATGGCAGGTATTTCCATGTAAGTTACTTCACTTCTTACTCCTCAGTGTTTCCTCGGGTGGAAGTTAGTTTCCATGCAGGGCAACCAGGTCTGGGTGGAACAAGCAGCATAGTAAGGACTTTAATGCAGGTGCTAACATTCCCAAAGCTATTGGCCTTTTTAGTTTACCACATGGCTTGAGGGAGACCCAGAAAGCTGCCCGCTATCAGCCTTCTGTTCATATCCGTATGTTGTTTTAACCATGAATGTCCAGCTGGCTTGTTAAAGTGACATTCTTTGTGATGGTGAAGCAGTGAAAATTTTCACTTGACAAGCCTTTTTTTTTTTTTTTTAAGGGAACACCCCCAAGAATTCCCTAGAATTGCTTTACTGTGCATGTTTGTTGCCATTTGGGAATTTTTATGAATGATGTGGCTTTGGAATTACAAGTTTACTCTGGTTGCATCCCTAGAGGATATGTCTTACAGAGTTCTCTTGCTTTGTAACACACCACAGATTTCACTGTTGTTGAGCTTACAGTGTGGAAGGAAAGTAACAAAAGTCAGCAAGTGACAGAACTTAACACAGAGGAGTCTGGAGGATATGGGCATCATGCCCTGAGAATCAGGAGTAACAGAGTATCTCCTCAGTCTAGTCCAGTGGGTCCACCAAGGCTTCCCTGAAGAGCTGACACTGGACTAGAGTGTGGAGAGTGAGCAGGTGTGAACTGAGAAGGCTGGGATGGGAGAGCTCATCCCATGTGCAGAAACTCACCACTGTTGTAGGCTTTCTGGGTAGAGAAATGAGGCTCCTAAAATGCAGAGAGCCTTAAACATCCCAAAAATATGTTTTGTACAGTTTTGGCTTCTTTTCCTAGGTGAGGTGACTTACATTCTGAATGGGTACTTTAAATTCCTGGTTAGTGAGGCTAAAATTGCTGGAATGGGGAGGAAGGGGAAGGTAGGTAGGATAGCTGCAGAAGAGATGTGTGAGAGTTGCATGTTTCTTCTTGGCGCTTGGAGGGCCCTTGGCACAAGTGCTAATGATGGGAACTTGGTCCTTCGGTAAAGCAGAAACACTGAATAATTTGAGTGGAAACCTGAGTGGTGGGATGTCTTTCTCTGGCCTGCCAGCTCCTAAACAATGACATGGAAGCCTTTTCTTATTTGTGAAAGCGCAAGCCTATAGCTTAGGCTTGTTCCTAACTAGCTCTTAGAACTTAACCGGTTATTTCTAGTGATCTACGCTCTGCCACAGGGCGCGCAGCTGTTACCTTTCCTCCTGCACATCCTGCTTGCCGTGCTGCCTCCTTCCTTCTTCCCTGCGTTCTCTCTCTGCTGTGAAGTCCCACCTGTACCTCCTGCCTAGCTATTGGCTGGTCAGCTTTTTATTACACCAATCACAGTGATACATTTTCACACAGTGTACAAATATCCCATAACAGCGGGAAGAGCTTGGGGTGGGGCGGAATGTGAGTTAAAGTTGATGAGTTACCCAGTCCTGGAGTCCATGGCTTGGATTTTGTTTTAGAATCTTAAGTACAGTGGAAAGTCATCAAGGGTTTTAAGGAGAAATGTGTAAAATTATATGTTATTTGTAAATATTATTCTTCTATAGGGTAAAGAGTAGATGCAAGGACAAACAGGGGCATAAGGGCACAAGCTTGAAGGCTATTGTAGATGTGTACAATAGACTGAAAACCAGTAGATGCAGGGAGGGGAGATGGGTGACAAGATGTGAACAGTTGACAGGAAGCAACATTGTTCATAGGTGGAGTAAATTAGACTGAAGTGTCAAGTTTCGAGAGTACTGCCCAGGTTTTTAGCTTGATGAACTAGGGGAGCAGTTGTGCCATTTCATGGGATGAAGAATACGAAAATAGGTGTGAAAGGCAATGCGGACATGTACTTTGATTCAGTTTGCGTCCAACATTAAGATATTTTTCTGTGAGCCTTTCTTTATTGAAAATTAATAGTCTTAGCCTTATTCAGTAATGGGTATTTATTGAGATAAGTCTGTTTTTTGATGGCATGTTCTTTTGGGTCTCAGTCTGGTAATGTCTGTCATTGCCAGATCTTATGTCATTTGCTTCCTACCAGAGGAGTATGTAGCTGTGTTTAGTACAGTGATGCTGAGAGGGATTGTGTGTGTTTCCTGGTTGCCAGCTCTTCTGTCTTAAGCCATTGCTTTGACCTCTGTACAAGGCTTGCCTCCTGAAGCTTGAAAAAAAACAAACCAGTTGTTTTTTGTGTGTGGGGGCAAGAAAGGGTTAAGGTTAACTTGGATCTTAATGTGTTTCTGTCACTTGTGGAGTGTCTTATGTCCACAGGGATGGCATAGGTGTTTTTATATGTACTTTAACTTCCCTGACTACTGATCTGCTGTGTGGGGCATGGATGATCAGAGAGTCTTCATGTAACTCAGCCATCTTGCTAGTTAAAGGTCAGGGTTAGAATCCTGGTGGCCTGATCACTGGCCAACTTAACTAGTTGTAGTTTCAACTCTTTCAATAAAACCTTTGACATTGTAGCTTATGGAACTAGCTCTCATTTCCTGGAATACATTTATGTAATATGAAAATACAGACTTTTAAAACCATTTATTTTTACTTTGACCTTGGCTACTCTCTGCTTTTCCTTATGTTTATCTTAGCTGTGTTGTGTCCTCTTGAAATCTACAGTTAGTGAGTATGGTGACTGTACTGTTCCTATTTTAACTGCAGAGTGATGTGGCACCTGTCTAGCATGTACTTTAGTGCTTTATAAAAACTGAGCAAAGGGCTTTTGCTCCAGTGAGCACTCAGGGTCAGATGGGGCAGGAACAGACATTTGATTGAGCATAGTGCAATATTGGGAAGGTATAACATCATGGGTTGGACAGTGGAGGGGATATCAGTCCTGGGGAGCTGATATTTGATGCCAGTCTCAAGGATAAATCATTTTGAGCAGCATAAGCATAAGCTGTTCTAAAACAGTTGTGACTTGATATGATATGATAGAAAAAAAAAATCTAGATTTGAGTAAGGCTTTATATAGCATTCATGTTGTGTTGTGCCTTGAGACAGGGTCTCACTATAGCCCTGGCTGATCTGGAACTTGTGAAGTTATAGAACTTGAATTTACAGAGATCACCTGTCTCTGCCTTTCAACCCCGAGATTAAAGGTGTGGGCCACTATGCCCAGCCTGCTTTGTTTCTGTGTATTTAAAGACAGGATCTTGATTGATAGTTTAGGATGCCCTGGAACCTTACTGCATGAATCCTAGACCTGTCTCAGCATCTATGGTGCTGGGATTACTAGTGTGCACAAACATGATGGGACTTGGTCGTAGTTAGAGACCAATTAAAATGTGTCCCCTGGGACTTGGCCAAACCATTGCCTATTTATATGCTTTTGAATTTTTTTTCCCTGAAAGATGAGAAATTATAGTTTTTATTAACATGGTGTATCTAAACCTTACAGCAACACCATAAAGAAGCTTGGATTTTCCCACTTAAAAGATGGGAGTATGGCAAAATACATGATCTTTACTTAAGGATATGTGAGCATTTAATGCCAGAATTAACTTGTTCAGAAGCAGTTGTGTTCTTAGTAGTTTTTGCTTAACTACAATCAATTTTTTTTCCATAGGCAAGAGACACTAATGTATCAAGTTACCAACTTTTACAGGGAGACTTTGAGTTGGGGCCTGGCATTCAGATACTGTTAAGTTGTGGACCTTGTCACTGGGCTCATGACCTGACCCAAACATGCTCTTTAGTGGCATTTGAGGCTGCAGCATGCTCTGGCACTTTTTTTTTTTTTTCTGAAAGGAACTATGGAAAGTTCCATGTTCCATCTTTGAGAAATTGGTAATTGCGGTGGTTCTAAGTATTATTTTGGTTAATGAATGTTTGTTCTGCTAGGTTTAGGTGATAGAAATCTACAATTTGATCTCTGCCACTTTAGTGGAGTATACAGACAAGTAGATACATTGGAGAACAGTATAGACGTGCAGATGGAGGGAGTGGGAGAGAGGAGAAGGGCAGGAAGAAAAGAAAGTGGGAGAGGGGGGGCAGAGAACAGAAAGGAACAGAACAAGAGAGGAGGAGGAGGATGTTAGGGTAAGTGAAGGAGATCTCTGTAGATCATAGTGTGAGGGAGGCTTCTGTACCTGAGCAGCGCTAGGAAGTAGCTGGACTACTCTGTAGGGATGCTGCTGGCCTTCGAGAGTCCGGGGTGCTCCAGTTAGGCCTGGACTGATGACTCTCTTCTTCTTTGCACCAGGTTATGGAACACCATATGGTTACAGCACAGCTGCCCCTGCATATGGTATGTACACCTTCTTACTGATTGCTCTTCTTAGCACATCTGTCACAGCAACCCAGAACATAGTTTATGACCAGGGGTTTCCATAAACAAGTCGGAGGATCTCAGATCTATTCATTCTGGTGACCCAACTTAAATTCCCTCAAATGCCACAACCTTGTGGTTCTTGGTTTGGTTGAAGTTGCTCTTCTCTCTGCTTTGCCTGATTGGAGAACTGCTTGTTCTTATTGCCTGTTTCTGACCATATGGAAATTAAATATTCAAAGTAATTCTTATAGCAAAACTATACTCCATTCAAAGGCTACTGAAGGGCCACACCAGTTTTTAGCCTGACCATATGCCAGTTACATGGCCACGTTGTTAGTTTCTGTATGGAATTTTATGAATGTGGGTGATTTGAGTCAAGAGAATGAAGCCATCCATCACTTCAAATTTGTACCCGTTAGTCTTTGCTATACATTTTGTTTTGGGAATGGATAGGTGTCATTGGTCCCACAGAGATGATAGGGTTTATTGCCAATGTTAACTGTTCCTTCTCCAGAAGTCAGTAGCTGATGCTAGAAAATCCTAGACTTGTCCCTTCTTTCCTTTTTAAAATAAAAAAATAGCAGCAGATATATGAATGAACCCTAATGGCCCTTTGGATAACTTTTGAATGAGGTTTATGTGGCAATGGAGGCAGTAGGTTTGGAGTCAGTGATATGCTCTTAGACAACTTTTGTAACTCAGGTGCTGTATGTTACAGAATCAGCCACCATCTATAGGATGCTTGTCAATGAGAGAAGAGAGCAAAAGAGTGTGTATAAGTGCGTGTGCGTGCGCGCGTGCGTGTGTGTGTGTGTGTGTGTGTGTGTGTGTGTGTGTCCACACAGCCCCAAACCAGGCATGCATGCACATGGAAAGCAAAGGTCCTCCATGCATCGCTATTCGTGGCATGAATCCTCTACATGAGCTCGGACCTTCACCTTGTGCCTTTTCTCTTCACACATCAGCTTTACCATTTTTGTTTTGATGACAATTATAGGTCCTTAGACATCACTCTGCTGAAGTGTAGAGTTTGAATAGTTTGGCATGGGTCAAACGTATGTAGGAAGTTTTGTTTTGGCAAAGTGCAGATCCTAGTCTTAAGTACTTTGCCTGGTTGTTTCCTCTGGTACATTCATATGGCTCAGTCTTCCCCATATACTGAACTACAGCAATCCCAGATATGGGAGTTGGGGACTAGTCCAAGAATACATTTTTACCTACAGTTCTTTCTGAATTCAGACTGTTGGATTCTTTTCAGTTTGACCATTGACGTTTGCCCTTTATCTTTTGAATGTCCCGAACACCTCATCCTTCCGGAATGGGGTCAGTTGTTAACCCAGACACAGCACATTTGACTTATTTGCTCTGCCTATGCCTTTTGTGAGCTTCTGCTCTGAGTCTGTGTGCCAGTCACATAATAATAACGATGATTATAGTAAAGCGTTGCTAAAGACTTTTTCTTTAAAAAAATTGATTTTTAGACTCCAGTTACATCCATGTTTTTCCTCAGTCTTTTTAATTTTTCTTTCCTGGTCCATTCTTAACATTCTTCACCCTGTGGCCTCTGAGCCTCAGTAGGCTCCTCTCTTTCATGTGCCATATAACTGACTTCCAAAGCTGGTGTAATTTGATGCCCCATTTTTCACATAAAAGATTTGGTTTTTAAATGTTACTGTGATGCAAATCTACTAAAACAATGCTTTATTTTGGCTGTAAGGTAAATATGTCTTTTGGCCTTTGTAAAGCTGTTGCATGTGGGGTTATCTCCCTCTGATCATCTGGTGCTCTTGAATACCTGCTGTTGCTGCTTTGTGATTTCTCCTAGGTTAAACATCAGTATAAAGACAGGGGCAGATTTCAAATCCTTCTTTGTGTGCAGGAGTTTGTGAGGCCACAAGAACGTATTAATTACAAATTAAGAAAACAATATTAATCTTTCCAGATTTGCCATGTCAACATTAGTGGTAGCCCATGAGAAGATAAACAGCTGGTCGGTAGCTCTGGTTGGAGCTGTCTTTCCTGGAATTTGAGGCCGCACAGAAAGCCTTATATCTTGACATATTTCTCCTTAATATGTCATGTGCTATATGCATTTCCAGAGTCACTTTAGGACAAAAGTGTTATTACCAGCATTGATTTTGATCTTTAGAAATTGTGCCTGCTCATTCAGATGTCATTTCTGAGTGTCATTCTGTGATACGGGCATTTTTATAAGATAGAAGAGCAATTGATTTGTGAGGGATTTGTGGGCCTCTTCCAAAATGGTATTTATAAAATGGACTGACTAATCTGGAAATGGTTAATGATTATTATTGTAAGAACTTTTTTAACCTGAAATTTTTATTGGAGTCCTCTCCGTTTCTTTTCTCTGTAGGTTTGCCCAAGAGAATGGTTCTGTTACCCGTTATGAAATTCCCAACATATCCTGTTCCCCACTACTCATTCTTTTAGCAAATGACAGAAGCTCATTCCTATTGAACAACAGTACAGTACAATGCAGAATGTTAGAGAAAAAGCCTTTTTATCCTGCTTTCTTTGAACACATACTTGATCAAAATTATTTGTAAAGAACATCTTTCCTACTTTTTGATTTTAACAAATGCAAATTCAGTTCTCTAAAACTTGAAAACAAACAAAAAGAAACCAGTTCTGTGAAACGGTACCTCATTCCTGGAAATAATTTATACCAGCCCCTTTGTTGTAGGGAAGTAAGTCTAGCAGCTCAAAGTTGACGTTCTCAGAGAGTATCAGATTATGTCAAGTTAAATTTGTGAAGGATGTATAGAGTCTCAACACTGATCACAAATAAACTGCTTTGTTGTAACACAGAGTACTGCCTGGTTCCTGATGCAGCCACTGAGTCGTAGCTGATTGATGTGCTTGCCCCAGGGCTCTTTAATTTGGGCTGTAGTTATTTTTTTTTTTCCAAATACAGTAGAAACTTTTCATTTAAACCATAACTTTGTAAATAATGAAGTGTGTAATTAAAGCCAATAAAATATGGGTTTGAATAATGTTAGTTTATTATTTTTGATATGTTTTGGTATCAGATTTCAAGGAATTGCAAACTAATAATAACTTAGCCCTAGAAACCCATTCACTTGTAAGCAAGCTGCTAAAACAAAGCAGAGATGATTGTTAGTCTGACTCAGTCTACTTACTTTGTAAGCTCTTGGTACTCCAGTTGTACAAGAGCATTCCCATGATAAGGTTACATTCTGTTATCCAAGCATTGCTTTTTAAAATGATGGCAGCACCCAAAGATGGGGAAGGAGGATTGTGATTATTTTAGTTTACGAATTTCCAAGTTAAAAAAAATAAATTAATCACTCACCCTCTTTTGTTCTTGTGGCCTTCTTCACTCTGTAAGACTCTTTCACTCCTTGACTTTTTCATGAAGATAGATGATTAGCAGTTTCCTGGGATTCCTTGAAGGGTCTCCTTTCCTCTTCAATGATATCAGAATCTAAAGCAGCAACAGGATCCCCATAAAAACTCGCTCTCCGATTGTCCCAGTTCTTGTTGAGTGCTGCTGTGAAAAGTGACAGGTTTCAGCCATGGGTCAGCATTTACTTTTCAGACACCTGGTTACACTGGTGGAAACTGAGTCAGTAACATTGTGCTGTTCTGTGAAGGGTGCAGACCCAAGTCTTCACTTGCATTCTCACCTTGTTTGGAAAGCTGATGATGTTACTAGAAGGTAATGGTTTCATTAAGGTATTCACCCCCATTCAGGTAGTCCTCTGCAGATATGTATAAGTCACCGTGTCTTAAAAATAACTCAGTAGGAAATAACTACTTTTCTGTTAAATTCCTTTTCAAAACCAAGCAGTGCCCATCACTTTAAGTGGTCTTTACTAACTTACATGCCAGGCTCCTTTGGAAGCAAAGGCGAGATGGGCATGGAGGCACAAGTGCAGCATCACTGCTCAGACGTATAGTGTATAATCGTTTGTTCTTTTCATTGACTCTGTGTTTCTACTAGTGGTGGGTGATACTTTAATAAAACCTTGTCACTTGCTGGAAATAGCTTGAACTTGTCCTTCTCATCATGTGTGTTAGTGGCAAGACATAATCGAGCAGGGCCCTCTCAGCTGGGAGTTCTCATGTTCATTGATTTGTTTTGCTGACCTATGGATGAAACAGAGCCATCACTGAGAAGAAAAAGCATGGCTGCTAGTGTCCAGTTTTTATTAATTAAATATTTACAGTGGTCCTCTGTTTTTGAAACACTATTAATTGGCAGTTGCAGTTGTATTGTTATTTGAAATTGATCATCAAATTTGGACTCTAGGCTGGAATCTCTCTGGAGATTTCTCTTGAGAAAATACTTTTGCAGTCTCTGACTCTGCTTCATAACTCACCCCCTCTCTGATGGAGGAGGGAGCTGTGCTGTTCTCCAACATGATGGCCGTCATTTCAAATGGTTCCTACCAAGTCTTCCCCCTTTCTTCTTAATTTTGTTGTTTGTTGGAAGTTACTAACCATGTTGTAAACCTGCCGAGTTGCTGCAAACTTTTACATTTCTCTGCTTTACTTAAAACAATGGAGCTGTCAACCCTATGTTAGAAGTGGTAACCATGCAAGTTCAGCTGTTTAAATCTGTAATGAATTAAGTGTCCTCCCACCTTTTGCCCTTCCTACCCTTCATTTTGTAATGAAAATTCCACTTACAGCTGAAAGAGCAGAGAAATATAAATGAAGCTCTTAGCTTCGTCCAATTGTGTGAAATTAACATAAAGCTCTGCTTCTCTGCTCTTTTCTCCACTGTAGGTGGTTTTTTCATTGACAGCCCCTATTGCCAGCCTCTGAGCGTCGCACCATTTATTATTCACTTGGGCCCTCAAGATTTCTTCTCTGACTTCTAGAACCATCAGGTTGTCTGGCTTGAATGGCAATTTCTATATCTCGGTCTTAAGAGCAATGTGACCCCTGAGGCTTTCCAGCTTTCAGATCCACCACTCTAACCCTTTTTGAAAATAATGACTGAGAATTTTAAAGAAGAGCAATACTTTGTCCAAAGCCACAATGTCTGTTTTAAAGCTCTCCTTTGGGAAACGTAGCAATATCTAGGTGTAATCCTTTTGGTGTAGCTCTGGTCAGAGCGTTTACAAATTAATGTAGAACTTAGAATCTGTGTGTAAACTATGCTATCCTCTGGCATTTTTTAATCATTTGTAGCACATAATTCAAGCACTTACATTTTTGACTGTCCAGCTAGCAGTATTATAATTTATCTGAGACAGGTGTCCTCCCTAAGCCATATCTCTTGGTGGGGGCCGGCGCTTCACCAGAGGTGTGGTTGGCAACCTGTGTCCCTTAAGGCTGCAGGAGTGCCCCATCTCTTGTGCCCATAATGGTTCCATAGATTTCCAACATACCTCATGCCGATGAGGTTTGGTGCATAGTATGGCGAAGTAAGGGGTTGGGTATAAGTAGCTCCTGATGTTGTTTGTAATAATCTCAAATTGTTAACCTTGGGAATGAAATACTGATCATGCTTGGATTAGCCATTTCTTTCTTTTTTCTTTTCTTTTTTTTTTAAATTGGGTGAATGTTTGAAATTCATGCATCAGTCACCATAATTAATTGAAGAGCTGGGAATACCTCGTTAATATATTTTTAAAACTGGTGTTGGACCCTCTGTGTATTTCAGGTTAATACTTTTAAGCAGTTTTCAGCACGTTTATCTCACTTTATTCTCGTTCTCCTCGGACCTCCGTAGCCATATCACTTGTATAAGATAGGCTGAGATATAGTGACTGTAAGCTGTGATCTCAGTTCACAAAGGTAAGCTCTTTTATTTTCTGATTAAAGAAAAAACAATAACCGATTAACACAACCTGCATATATGACAATCATATGATGTATTTGATCTCCTAGGTCTTATGTCACTGCATTAACTTTAAATTTTTATGGTCTAAATGTAAAATAGTAATTTTCAGCATTTGTTTTAATACTCTTGTAAATGCTTTTTATTCAAGAGAAACATTTCACATTCACTGAGTCAAGTGTATGTGGGTAGAAATTTAGGATATTATATTTACATTATGTCTATGTAAATTATACATACAGAGGCACTTGTTGGAATATAATAATTCAGTGGTAGGAACACTTTAAGAAGAATTAAAATGAAAGGGCACTTTGGCCAAGGAACTGGGATATCAGAAGCAGTAACATTGGTAACAGTGCCATAGGATTCATGTGTGTACTTACAACACAGGCTGAGGGTATAAGTGCCAATCTCTGAAGAAGAGAACCTTCTCGGACCTGTGTTGCATGCCCCAATACAACAACAGCAAGAAGCCATTTAAAAAGAAAAAAGAAAAAAAAAAGCAATAGAAAAGTTAAAAAAAACACAACTATTAACTGGGAAATATATGTAATTGGTTGGGTTTAGCTAATTATTTGTAGAATCAACTTGAGCAAGACTCAGAAAGGTGATAGTGAGTCCACCGAAACCAAATCGACTTAAGGAATCTGTTTTTTCCAGGTTAGGTAGCTAGAATATTTCTCACTGTTGTCAGTCTTCAACAGAATTCATTTAAATGGTATGAGGGTTAGGCCAGATACTTTAATAAGGATTTACTTCCTTTAGTATACCCCATAAATACACCTCATTATAGTAGATGTTCTGTGCTAAAGCTGTATTTATATAGATAGATATATAAAAATAAAATTTGTTTTACATTTCTTTCTGTAGCAATTTCTATTCGTTTCTAGCATTAAGGTTGCTGGGACAACTTTGTACCCATACAGAACCTGCAGTTTATGAGGTTGGCTTCTGTTAAAGGCTGAACAAGGCAGAGCAGTGCAGTGCAGTCCTGTGCCTGCTGATGCCAAGTCCTTTTCTGGGACCCCGAGAAAGAGGCCCTGACCAGTGGGAGCGTCTGAAGCCTGAAAGTTCCCTTGCTGGTGGAATTGGCCTTGTTGTAAATAAATGCCCTACTTTGGGAGATAGTGTATTAACAGTGGCAAAAGTTACTAATTTATTTAGTAGTTTAATTATAAAATACTGAATATTGTAGGCTTTCTAACACCACAAAATTGATGTTACTTGAAGATTTCCTCAAGTAGCGTTTTTCCTCGGCACTTTTGAGGGCCTGAAATCTGCTCTGGTTACGCTCCTCATGCTCTGTCCAAATGTTGGGTCAGAAAGTGGGATGCCCAGCACACACTGCAGCCCTGCGTGGCAGCTGTCTCTGTAGTCCTGCCAAGAACACAGTGGGCAATGTAAACACTGACTGCATTCTTTCAGTGGCAGGTGAGTGTTACCATTATAATAAATCACTTGCTGTAAGTTTCCTGATTCTTATTTTTCACTAATGATTAGAATGGAGGAGAGTAGTCAGCACTAAGGGAAATGCGCTAGAGATGTTTTCTTCCCAAGCTGTCTGGAGCCTGTAAACCAGGGGTATTGTGAGCAAAGTAACATCTGAAAGCAGCCCGCTCTATGAATGGTCTGCGTTCATTTCTACTCTTTTAATGCCAGTGCCTCAAGTCACCAAGAACTGCAAAGGTACCATGGCATTCATGCCTGTTCTCTGCAACATCTGATGCCATGCAGTCAGTGTTCCTTAATGTTACTAGGAGGCTTGGGAGGGAGATGGATGGGGTGTCAGTGACAACAGCAGACCTAAGCACCCGAAGTTAAGATGAGCTTCAACACGGGTGTGTGTGTCTGTAGCACTTAACAGCGCAAGTGCAGCCTTGTTTAAGACTCAGCCCCTTCTCCTAATGGTGTCTTACAGAAAGGCTGTTAAGCAGAGGATTTGTGTTGGATTAGTTGCACAAATAGATATCCTTTCCATGTCACTGTCATTTCAGTTAGGAGCTAACAGCTTCCATTATGTTTGAAGCAATGATCTTTGGAAGTTTTTAAAAATAGAACCATAATGTGAATTGGGTTATATAAGCTTTACAGCACAGATAGAGATAAAGGATAGAAGCCATGTGGAATCCAGACCAAAGGATTTCTCTCACTCCAGCCTATTCCTGTGGAGCTTGGGAATCTGATGAGTTCATATATTCAAAGCTTTTAATGGTACCTGGTACACAGGAAGTACTTGTGAATGCTGACTCTGCTGTTCCCTTGGTTGAGACAGAAGGATAGATGTGAGGCCCTGCTGGTTAAGCAGCAGGTGCATGGTCTGCTTAGGAGTGAGTTGGGCTTACTACTTTGTGCGCATAGGCCTGGGCCGCCCCCAGCCTGAGGCCAGACTTGGCAGGACAGGTTTGCTCATATTTTTGCTGCAGCATTTAAATCACCAGCCAGCTTGCAGCCCATGGTTTGTAGATACTTGTTTGGGATTTACGGGTGCTTAGAGTTTTACAAAGGCTGAACTTAGAACATTTACCTGCTGATTTCAAGTTTTCTACCCACAATTTAGTAATAAAGAACCTATAGTGGCCAGAATCTAGTCTCAAAGGCTTGTGGTGTTTGGTTTTAGAGAACAAGTTAATATAAACTCGGGAAAGAAAAGGAGGACCGAGGAAGCACCTAGGATGCTGTTCACTCAGATTCTTCTGTGAGAAGTCCCTGTATCTTGTCTCATGGTACATTAGTGGAAAGCATTTGCACTCACACCACATGAGGCCCCCTTCTGTCTGAGACTCTTAGAGCGTTAGTCTATTCTGTTGGTCTACCTATCTGGACACAGTTGGGAAGTTTCTGTTGAATACAAGGACAAATGGGGTGATGCTTCTGAACTACCATGCAAGGACTGGCTCATACATGCTGGCAAAGACCTAAGGAGCCTCAGAAGGAGGGTGGACAGGTTGAGGTCCAGGCTGTTAGTAGGAGGTGAGTTAAGTGGAAACACAAATTGAATTCTGAGGTGTTAAATTTTAGAAAAAACTGTGTGGACAAGGATTACCTTTAAGGAGTAAATTAGACTTGTGTTACTTGGTAAAAGTTACTATGTTTCTCCTTAGCTGAGACTATGGGTAGGTTCTTCATCTCATTTGGCCAGCATTGAAGAAAGGCTCTTAAGTGTGTGTGTGTGCGCGCGCGCGCGCGCGCGCACGCGCACACACACACACACACACACACACACACACACACACACACACACGAACAATCACAGGATCACACACCACCAAACATAACAACAGCAGAAAACAACCCTGACCAGTTATCAGAGGAGGGTCATGGTCTTTCTATCTAGAACTTTACCATTTGTGCAAGTGGTTGTCTTGCCTCGCAAGGGGGTAGTGTAAAGATTACCGCCTCTGCCATGCCCAGTTGGCAGTAGCGTGGACTTAACAACTTCCTTCTCATTGGAGAGGAGTGGTCCACAGTTGTCTCTCTCTGCTGCTGAAGGTCAACAGCAGCACATGGGGTCAGCATTGTTGCAGTTAGGACATTGCTGTCCTTCTTTGTTGGATCTTCTCCTTCCTTGTCCCAAGTCATTCAGTTAATGGCAGTTTTTGTTTAGGACTTAGGCTTGCCCAACATTTTGACATCACAACATGTCACCTACAATGTTCATGTGACAACCATATAAAATTCTACCAAAAAAAAAAAAAATGACAGGAGGAACTATTTGGGAGGCATGTGTAGTAGATGTAAGAAGCCAGGACAGGAATGAGGAAGGAATATTGCCAGAATTGGTATTGTGGGTGTATGTGGCACTGGAACATTCTTAATTCTCAGGCAGCCTTCCTGGAGGTGCTGTTATTTCTGATGTGGACATGAATCTGATGTGGAGGGTTAGGTGCTAGAGACAGGAGAGAAGGACCCTCTCTGTGTTTGGTACCAGTGCTGCTTTCTGCTCAGCAAGCTGCAAATTATAAGGCAAAGGTGAAGGCTAGCTGGATTCTAGGCCTCCTGTCTTAAGCACACTCCAGAGCAGACAATATATCTTGAAAAACAGGGATTTTTGTTTGGGTTGTTTTTTTGTGGGGGTGATGGATGATAAAAGGATTTCTTTTTTTTTTTTTTTTTTTTTTTTGGTTTTTCGAGACAGGGTTTCTCTGTGTAGCTTTGCGCCTTTCCTGGAGCTCACTTGGTAGCCCAGGCTGGCCTCGAACTCACAGAGATCCGCCTGCCCCGCCCCCCCAGTGCTGGGATTAAAGGCGTGCGCCACCACCGCCCGGCCGATAAAAGGATTTCTAACAAACGGCATGAAGACAAAGAAGACAATGGGCTGTGCCAACAGAGGAAGCTTTTGTATCTAAAGCTTGTTTTTTTGTTTTGGTTTGGTTTTTTGTTTGTTTGGATGAAGTATCAAGAGGCCATGGTACCTGTTTTCATTAGCTCTTCTTTCTGGAACATACTCTCTGCCTGAGAAAGGTAATGGAGCTGGAGGAGGTTTTGGCTCACTGGGTAGAAGGAAGAGGTTTAGGGTAGAAGGTAGACCTACTTAGGTATAGAAGGGACAGTGACCCATCAGAAGACCCATGCTGAGTGCTAAGCACTTGCCAGTTTGGAATGTGAGTCTTCCTTCCACCTTGGGCCAGGGTTCTCTGGCTATATCTGTTTCTCACCTTGCTGCTTGCAGACCACTTCCCAACTTCATTGCCAGTTGCTTAGGGACAGAGAGAGATAGTAACAGAGTACAGAATCCCACCTTGTCCATATTCTTGTCATCTTTGACAACTGACAAGGGAAGTATGCTATGCTGCAATCTTGGAGACAAATTGGAAGAATCTTATTTTAACCAAGTTCTAGAGCATCAAAGCATGTGAAGAAACGTGAGGCTGTGGTCTGGACAGGACTCAGAGCACTGCAGAGCCTTCTTCCATTCTTTGGTCCATTTCTAGCTCCCAGTCCTAGAGAAGGAGTGGTGCGAGGATTATTGTTCTACAGGGCCCAAAACGCAGAGGTCTCTACAAACCACCCTGCTTGTTTGTGGTAAAATACTGTGGCTTCTAATTAGTGAGTATTGAGCCACACAGAGGAAATGACATTTCTTGTGCTGTTCTCAGGGCTAGCAGATTGGTTTTGAATCCTGCAACTGAAGGACCTAAAAGTTTGCTCTTAGTAGGAAAGGGCTTTAGGTAAAGTGACTTTGCTCAGTTACACAGTGCTTGGCGACAGAGCCCATATGCTCTTGACTGTTCTATGCTCAGCTGGCTCTGTGCCCTCCTTACCATCCTGCTTCCCAAGGCCATTTCACAGAAGTGTCCCTTCCTCTGTCTCTGGTACATTCTACTTCCCTTTATCTAGACTGTGGGACTCGACTGTGTGTGCCTTACAAAATAGAACAAACAAAACCAATCTACCTTTCCTGTCTTAGCTCGTGCTCTCCCTGGTTCCTTTGGAAATGTATTGTGAATCAGCTCTAAGCCAGGATGCCTGGTTTTTGTTAGCTGTACACTGGAATATTTATAGTCTAGTGTGGTTCCCAAAACTGTATGTAATGAAGTGCAGACTTAGTGGGTGCTGCTTGGAGAGATCGATCCCAGGCTTTTGGAAATGTGATTTTTTGGGGGTGGGTGGGTGGGTGGGTGGTTGTCAGATAATGCTGGCCAGTCTGCATGTGCTTAACCAAAGGGTCATCCTCACAGTGGCACTTTCCAGAGCAGTTTAATGCAGGGTTCCACTTTGTAAAATCTCTCATACCATTTGGGCTACACTAAGAAAAATTATGGATGCCATTCTTTGGGATGTTAAAACAAAGTATGGAGGGTGCACTTGAGAAACCCAGAAGGGCTAAAGTCACCTGGAAACAAGATCAAAGGACCAATGTGTCAAGACTAGTGAAGGGATGGCCTTGGGCCAAGCATGGACACTCTTATCATTTATTTTAAAGAATTTTACTTGTATGTGGTTCCAGAGAGGAAACGACAGCTATGAGCAGCCAGGTGGGCAGTGTGACATGAAGTTACCATCTGAGGGCAGGTGAAGCTGATTCAGAAAAACACAGGAAGAAGTGAGCGCTGTGGTATGGTGATAGCATATGTTCAAGCTATGAGCTATGTTTGGTGGTGTTTGAGGAAGATTGTGAGTTCATGGCCAGCCTAGGCTATGTAATGAGACCTTGTCCAAAACAAAACAAAACAAAACAAAACAAAACAAAACAAAACAAAACAAAACAAAAGTTTGGATAGTGTAGAAGAAAATGTGCCACAGATGTCCATTTGAACCACCTTTGACAGGACTGGGTGACATTGGGAATAGGTCCTTTCTGGAGCTAGATTTGAGGAATGTGTTCACTGTAACCTTCTACTTTGGATGGGGTTGTGACATGACAAGGTTTTCAGCTTAGGAGAGCTGAGGAAGGACAGAAGATCACTGGCAGGTAGAAGGGAGGCGAACATCAGGAGGTTTGAACAGAATCAGAATTGTCTTCTGTAGTGGGATGACCACAGCTAGCAGCTCTGCTCCACCGCCTCAGAGGGATGCTAATCCTGGTTTCAGGGCTGATGTCTAGCAAGCCCATTTTCAGTTTCACAGACCAACTGTGAATTGACTAACAGCATAGAAGGTCATAGAGCTGAGTCACAATTGCAGTAGCCCTGGTCCAAGTGACCCAGGCCTCTGATTGGGACAGCGTAGAACAGTGAGGGGAGTCTGGGAGCATACTTTGGCATTGGAGGCCTGTGTGCTGAGAAAGGTGCAGCCCTCTAGGTCTTGTGAATGCCTTGGTATGGGGCCTGGAATGGTTACCAGGGTGAGAAATAGGTTGGAGGTATTTTTCAGAGCTACTTTGTGAAGAGCCCTGGGTGCTGTGCCCTTTATGATCACCACTCTTCGATGTGGTGAGAAAATTGTGGAAGTACACCTAGAGAGCCAAGGACCTATAATCCAGGCTGACGAGAAGAGGGAGGAAGAGGCTATGCCCAGATAAGGATGAAGGGAGTAGCTAGAGCAAGCAGAGATGTTGGCCTGTTTGACTTGTCTGCTGCCCTGAGCAGGGCCTGCAGCTGATCTGCATAAGCAGACCACTCCCATCCCACCAGGGACTGTTGCTGCCTCTGAGTTGAAAGGTACTGATAGAGTTCAGAGCCACTAAGGCAGATAAGGTCGATCTGCACTGGGACTGTAGGCAGAAGCATCATCTTGACATCAGGCAGATTGGAAGCCTGCCACTTGGCATTTGTACCCTTTCATTTTTTACAAGGTTGGGCTTGCCAATCACAACTATATACTGGATATTCTCTTTTACTGGGGTCTGTCTTTTGCTTTCATTTAGATTTTTTTCCCAATTTTTAAGATTTTAACCTATGCAAGGGTTAGTGCTTTTTGGGATTCAGTTAGAGTATAGCCTCTAGCCAGTGGGAAAGGAGATCTTCTTTTAAAAGGTTCTTAAGGACAGATGAAATTATGTGGTTACTGAAGGATTTGCTCTGGGTTTCAGTTGTGTTAGTCTCCACCTAGCCATGTCTCCTGTGTTCTTTTCAGTGCTAGAATTTCTTTGTGGGGGAGGAGGTATTCTAATTAGGGCCTGCAGGTAATAGGCTGCTACTCTACAGTGAGCAGGTCAGGATGGGCTTCTGTAGCTCTGCTGGGGACTAGAACTGGAGGTAGCAGTTGTTTGGAAGCCTTAGGTCAGAGTTTTAGAAGGTATCTGGGACACCAAGCCTAACAATCTTTGAGTAATAAGAACTCCATGGCCAACTTCCCATCTGTTAAAATGAAAATCTGGGCATTGGTGAGTGTGGCTCTGTCACACCTTACTTACACACTATGCCAGAAGCCAGCCCTGGCCTTAAGACGGTCAAGATTATTTAGCCTTTGCATCTGTCCTGTGGCAGCACCTGAGCTCTCCTGGGCAATTACTGAGGATAAGGAAGGTGCAGATCCTGTCAGCAGGAAGTGACGGAGGCACACTGCTGACCAAAGAGTGTAACAGAAGGGCTCAGGATCTCCTAGAGGAGGGAAGACTGAGTGGGGAATGTCCAAGGGAGGCAGCAGCTGTGGAGCTGAACCTAGAGGATGACATGGTCTGGTAAAGAGGTTGTATCAGAGCCACATCTTTTATGTTGCCAAGAGGTACTTGGGTTAGATTGGGACAGGCTGGGTGACAGGCTGAGGGGCATGGACTGTGCTCCGGGTGGTGGGCAGTCAACAGATGAGTTTAGGAGGGTAAAGTGGCCACAGACACATTACATTGAGTAATGTCACTCTTATTATAGTAGACCATGCCTGTAACTATAAATTACACCTTTCCATTTAGTGTGTACTAGACTGTCAAGGGATGAGGAGCTCTTGGGATTAGGATGAAAAGGGCCGCTGGAGCATTGGAAGGTTTTCTTGCCACGAGGCACATGACAGCACAAGACAATTTCATCATTCTGTAGGCCTTTTCTTTCTTGTAAGCCTAAAGGTCACTAACAATGTTTCTTTGGCCTTGATCTGTTTTGTATTCAGACTAGTTTTGGCTTGGGGCCTGTGTGTGTGAGGGTAAAATGATGGACACCAGTCATCCCCTCCACTCCCATTCTCACCCCCTTCAGAACCAATCACAGGGTAAAGAAACTCTATGGAATGCAGACTCCTTTCAGGCCAGGCTTTGCAGTCTTCTAGAGGACAGGTGAATCTTGGGCCTGGAGGGTACTCCTTGGAATCCCTCTTCTCTCCTCCAGGTACGTACTTCAGGGCAGTTTTTAACCCAGTTCCAGCAA